CAATCTACATTGTAAAAGCGCTATACAAATAAAGCTGAATTGAATTGAATTGAAAGATAGATTTAATAACAAAGTGCAAATTAGTCTCGCAGTCTCACAAAAGCAGTTATTTTACTGACAATGCATGAACTGTGAACATAGACAAGCTATTCCATTTCATAATGAACAATGGCGTGCATAAACCAGTGCAAAATAAGTGATGAAATATGGATATTACGTACAGTAATAGTGCAAAAACTAATTTACTGATGCATTTAAAGCGGTCATAAACCCTGAAAGCAAAATACCAGCAATCTTTTAACATAAGGCTGCATTTACACTGCAGATCTTGATGGTCAATTCCGATTTTGTGACTGTATCCAATTTTTTTTTTAATGAATTGCTTAAATCATCGGTCCCACTTTATATTCAGTGGCCTTAACTAATACGTACTTAAACAGGAATTAATAGTTTGTTACAATGTACTTATTGTGTAAATACATGTATTTATTGTGTACTTATGCTTGATTAAATGCATGCATGTAATTAAATCTGTAGTTAACTTTTGTATTTACATTTGTAAATACACTGTTGACCATCCCTTACACCTTAACCTACCCTTAAACCTACCCATGCCACCAAACCTGTCCATAACCCAACCCCTATCCCAACTCAAAAGCACCACAAGTGTTTTCAAATACATTATAAACACAGTAAGTACATTGTATTTATTTTTTAATGTAAGTACATAGTAGTTAAGGACACTTAATATAAAGCGGGACCAAATCATCTTTTAAAAGTGACTCGTATCCGATCATCTGCATTTACAAAGCACACGGCAAAGGTGCAATGACCAGGACAAAAAGAGCAGGTGCTGACTAACAGCTGATAATTAAAGAGTGCTCTTTAATTATTTGATTCCTGTATGTATTCTGTTCGATGCTTTTGACAAGCTGTTTTACTATAGTTTATGATCATTTGTCCATCTTCTTTTGATATATAGGCTTTTTTTAAACCTTTAGGCATCTTAATGTAATGTCGTGATTTATGCACGTGATGTAGCTATGCACTAGTTTTATATTAGTTTACATTGGTTGCGTGGTGGACACTGCGCTCTCTCGCTCTCGTTAACATGCTTAAATACCTGTGCTATAAGACAATATAAAGGCTGTTCAAGCCCTCGTGTATGAGATTTAAGGTTTGGGACTCTGCTGAAGTCTGTTCTGAAATGAAAGTGTCAGACTTGACGTCATTCGCTATGGATTTTAATCTTACATTAACACAATAACATGCATTTCAATATTAACATTTATTATGTTATAAAGAGTGTAATATGAAAAAAAAAAACAGTGGAGAGTGATGAAAATTCATGTAAATCAAAAAGGAAAAGAATATTTTTATTATTATTTATTAATATTTTTTATTTACAACAACAACAAAAACTATAATAATTATAATAATACCAATGGTAGTAGTAATAATAATAATAATAATAATAATAATAATAATAATAATAATACTAAAAAATAATAATATTAGTAATAATATTAATCATAATGACAATAATAATAATAATAATTGTTATTATTATTGTTGTTGTTATTGTTACTGTAACGACCGGGGAGGGAGTGACAGATACAACTGCAGGTAAGATCCAATATGCAGGTTTATTCAGCGTCAGGCAAGCAGTGGTCATACAGGTGCAAACGGGTATATTAAGGCAGTCCAGAATCATAAACGGTAAACAGGCAAAAGGTCGATACATCACGTTATCGATGAGAGAAAGTATAATGCAAAGAGGCGTTTCCGGCATCATGGCGAAAATTAATTCTTCAGCCAATCAAGTGCCCCCTTCTTCCGCGGGCCTTGGGGCTTCAGCCCCACCTAGCCCTTACAGTTCGTTAATCCGGCCCTGCCCGAAGAATAAAGTGTGGAGTCCCAGGAAGGAGCTCTAGATGGAGACTGGCTCACGCTGATCACTTGACGCAGAAGTATAAACCAGACTTATGCATCCACGCTTATGCTGCGCCAGAGCATACAACGCGCGTTTGATGCAAAAGTATAAATTAGCCTTTAGTCCCTTATTTATAAGTGTTCGCCACAGTAGAATAAACCGCCAACTATTCCAGCATATGTTTTCCACAGTGGATGCTCTTCCAGCTACAAACCAGTATCGGTGTACCGAATGAACTGGTGTGTTCCATTTCAATGAAGAATTTGTCATCGTAAATTTGTTTGGGGACTTGTAAAAGTGTTATGCTTCTTGTTTATTTATTTTTTTTTATGTAAATTTGTTTCGTCCTTGGTAAAATCGCTTTTCCTATGTAATGGTGTCTTATGATAGGAAAAAAATGTTTCATTTTTTCCAAAATGTAAATTTCTCTCGAGCTTCGTAAAAGTGTTTCACACTATGTAATGTTGTTTTGCACTTCCCGGCCACCGTACTTACGCCTTACCCAGAATATAAAACACATATTAATACATTTAGATCATTTACTTTAACCTCTTAAACTCTTCTGCTATTTTGGGATTTCCGCCTGGATTTTGCCTACCCAAATTTAAAAGCTTCCCAAATCCCCATGCAGAGGTGTAAATGCAAACATTTGGTATCATTTTAAAGAAAACTCTTTGAATTTTCATAAAACTCTATTGAAAGTGTTTAAAATAACTGTATATGTTGTCTGGGTTATAATAAACACTAAAAAGAGGCGGTTTTTGTATTTTTTTTTTTATAAACTTAAATTTGAAGGTGTACCTTTTAGGTTCTGTGTGGTCTGGGGTGCTGTAATTATTTAGGTGGTTCCTGCACATGTCTGTAATCATAGGATAAAAGACAAATGTCTCCACCATAATCTATGCAAAAGTTATTGTATTCCAACTGATGAGAGGTGCTGTACAAGCCACAGGGGTCGATTACTGTTTTCATATTTCGCTGTTCTTTTGTTTGATCAAACATAATTCACTGTGTTTGGACCACGTCAGACATATGAAAGGATTACTTATGCACATCACCTCAAAAACAGAGGAGAAATGGCCCTGAAGCGCACAGCATAAGGTAAGAGATGACAGCTGTCTGTGCTATCTGGGGCTGCTTATTGATCATAAATGTATTGTTTTCACTTCTGCGCCATGGAAACACGGCGATTTATTCGACAACTGTTTGATTTGTGAATATAATTCAGTAAAAAGAATGCCAGAACCGTATGAGCACCGGCAAGAGATTTCATTTGAGCTTTAACTTGTACATGTGTCATATATGAACCATATGGAAATGAACCAATGTTCCATACCCAGCTCGGGTATCCAAAATACTGTGTATTTAAGTGTGAATAACTTTTGTACAGTAGAATAAAAACCAAAGTGATGCATATGTGCAAAAATATAGATCCTACACTTTCAAACGACACCACTTACAGGGGTCTGGATCAATGCTAGCCCTTTAAATCTTAAAGCGAAAATCGATGACGTCACTGGTTAATCATTACTATTGGAATGTGAAGAGACTTTTAAAAAGCACAACAAAACTTGTTTCTGAAAACGATCTCCTTCTCCACCTTTAACACTGTTCCAAGGTATTTGAACTCTAACAAAACAAAACAAAAAAAGCAGGCATGCAAACCTCAAGATGAAACAAACACAAACTGCAACAAACAACAACAGCAAACAAAAAATGTATTCGAATGTATTAGCTGTATTACATAGATATATACACTAGATGTCGCCTGGCCTATTGTTGTCTATTGGACGGAATGCGTCAATAGCGCCGCCATCTTGCTACAGGGTAGCACTCCTTTGAAATGAATGCGGGACCAAGGTACAGTGGAGGACTGTGGCCATGCAAAGCCAGAGATATACACATATACACATACATATATCTGTGATCGGGAGTTTTCCTGGATGTGGTATGTAATTTTTTTTTCTAATTACGAAAATTATAATTTTACATCACTTTTCTACATTGATGGATCAGTGACCGCACGGGCATTCCTGACAAAAAGCTTGTGTTTGTGTGTACAGAAATGTACTATTCACCCTCTCTGTTAAATTTGATCCAATCATGTCCTGAAACACACCTCCTCTCCTGCTTTTACTTCTCATACTGACGGAGGGAGCGATTCGTTTGTGAATGAATCCCCCGAATGACTCTTTCACTAACGTTAGCCGACAATAATACAAGTTTCTGGCAGCGCAGCATCTCGTTGTCATATTTCTTTTGCATTGTTTGATGATTTTATTCAACAAAACTAGCATAAGCCGAGTGTTTAGTGCGAGTTGGAGCTACTTTGCCTGGTGAATGGAGTAAGAGACTGTATTATCATCAATAACGTGACCTGATTAGCACAAAAGTTCAGAACATACAAAAACAGAAAAAAACAATATTACCTATGAAATGTTCTGCCATTGTGCTTTGTTTTCTTTGTTTGCTCGTTACTACTCTCATAGACAGCGCTAAAGTCCCGCATCTTCACGTAATAACACTGTCCTGACTAGTGCGGTTGAATGACATTTGTCCTGGGAGCACTGTACCAATGTGGCGGCGCTATTGACGCATGCTCAGGGTCCCTATGCGATATCTAGTGTATATATCTATGGCTGTATCAGAAAACAAGACGACAAAAAATACTGATTTTGTTAGCAGCGTAGCCACAAGAGAGAGCTGTTGAGCTGTAGTTTACTCCTCATTTCACACTGTATGATATTATAAACATGTGAAGTCAGTATTAAACATGCACATGTTGTATTTAGGTGGTTTCCTATATTGATTTATGGCCAGAAGTCAAAATTATTCGCCCTTCTGTGACTTTTCAAACATTTCCCAAACTAATTTTAACCCTAGTTAAGCCTTTAAATGTCACTTTAAGCTGAATATAGCGTCTTGAAGGATATCTAGTCAAACATTATGTGCTGTCATCATGACAAAGATAAAAAAATCAGTTATTAGAGATGACTTATTAAAACTATTATGCTTAGAAATGTGTTGGGGGAAATAATCTCTCTGTTAAACAGAAATTTGGGGAAAAAATTATACAGGAGGGCTAATAATTCTGACTTCAACTGTATATTTACCTGGATATCTCCCTCTGCTCATCACATCCGGTCTGGTGTGTGGTGTGTGTGAGTTTAATCCTGGCTGGCTGATAAAAACTAAGGTTAGTTTTGACGGCTCTTATCTCTGAAGTCCAGGTTCAGTCAGTGTTCCTCATGTTCCAGCATTAAATCAGAAATCCTCCAGAAAGCTTTGGGAATCTGCTGTGGATTGAAGACTGACAGGACGAGGGGGTTTTCTGCTGCTTTCTGTTGGGTTTGATCTTGTACAGTAGCGTTCAGACAGATCCAACACACGCTCTTGGTTCATCTCGAAGGATTTTGTGTTATCCTGTGACAAAACGAGAGATTGGAAGTCTTAGGGGTGGATGTTTTGTGGTTTTTTAGGTGATAAAAGAGAAGAAAATATAAAAACATTTTAAATCATGATGCATTTCCTTACAATTTAAAGCTAAATTATAGTATTAAAGGGGTAGTTCACCCAAAATGTACTCTCTATTTACTCTGCCAGGGAGGTCAGAAAAATAAATATAACTGAAAAGAAAAACAAGATTATTATATTTGTTTATTCTTGGCTTCAAAAGACTAAACTTAAAGGGACAGTTCACCAGAAAAATGAAAGTTTTGCCATCATTTACTCACTTTCCACTTGTTGTAAGAGTTTCTTCTGTTGAACACTAAAGAAGATATTTGGAAGAAAGGCTAAAACCGGTAACTATTGACTTCCATTGGAGAAACAAATATGTTTTGAGTTGTTAAATAATTAAATGGATGAAACGTAACAATCGATAAGTCCACTGATGCTGGATGAATAAGGAGAAAACACCACCGCTTGTTAAGTAAAACAAAAAATAAGTATTTATTAAACAGAGAATGTCAAACAATGAATAGGAAACGTAATGTAAATGTAATTTAAAAAAATCAAATTAAATAAAGAAAACCGGAGTGTTGCCAAAACAAAGAAATAAATATAACAAAACAATCTAAGCTGACAAACATAGCTAAACAATCTAAGTCAAGCTCGCCTCCAGAACAGCGCAAGCGCACGGCTTTTATACTGCGCGGACCCAATCCTTATTGGCGAGCCGACTGAGTGACTATGGTGATTGACAGCTCACTCGACCAATGGTTGCACACGTGAAACAGGACAACGAGAGAGAGAGAAGAGTAAAACAGAAAACGTAAAACAGAAAACAACAAAACACCACAAAACATATGTGAAACGTAACAACCCCTATTGAAGTCAATGGTTTTCGTTTTTTCCAGCATTCTTCAAAACATCTTCTTTTGTGTGTAAAAGATGAGAGACACTCATAAAGGTTTGAAACAAATGGAAGGTGAGTAAATGATAGCAAAACATATTTTTGGGGTTGAATTATGCCTTTAAGCCTAGTCTTTTGAAAATAAATAAATAAATAAATAAATAAACAAACAGATCTTGTTTTTCTTCTGAATTACTTTTTATTCTGACCCCCCTGCAGATGTTTTTGTTTTAAGCTCACTTCTTTGATGATTTGTTTATTTATTTTTTAGAAAACAAATACTTTCTTTTATATAGCAGCAATAATTTGTTTTACAGTTGCAAAATTTCTTTGGAAATGTTATATGCAAAATGGCTATGCAATATGCAAAAGAGCTACACATTGCTGTTTTTAAATAACATTCTCCGTGACCTATAGTGTGTGCAAAGTTCAATTATATAATTTTAGTTTGACGTTTCCATGTTTTTCTGGGTTATAAACAAGATTATTATAAAAAGGGTTATTTTAAATAGAGATACACTTCCTTATAAAGCAAAGTGAAAACATTAAGTCGTTTCAACTGAAAACAAATTAAGAAACAAACATTTTTTTCCTGAAATAAATGTATTTTTCTAAACTCTCTGGCAGATATTTTTAGCTTAAGCTCAATTCTGTGATGATTTATTTACTTATTTTCCAGAAAACATGACTTTCTTGTTTAGTAGCATATGAGTTATGCAATATAATTGAATTTCAGGAGTTTTCACTTAGATATTGCTCGATGCTATTAGCAGGTTTGGCATGCTGTCACAGGAGGGAACTCTGAGCTCAGAGATAATTGAGCCCAGGGCTCCCACCAATCAATTAGCATGTAAGGGGGTCCGAGATCAGGTAGTTCTCAATAGCTTACCCTGGTTAAAGGAGGAAAAGTAGGAGATGGGGTGAAAGGAAGGATTCTTCCAAAACGAAGATAAGGTAGTAGGGTGAATTCGGTCAATTTGTTGTAAGCTTGAATCATTCTGATTGGATTATTCATGATTACGGATGAGAGGCCAGACGTGATCAATCATATTCAGTTCAATTCATGTTTAATTCTATAGCGCTTTTTACTTTGTAGATTGTGTCAAAGCAGCTTAACATAGTTCTAGTAAAGTCCAGATTTCAGAGTTGAAGTTCAGTTCAGTTCACATCAGTTCAGTTCAGTTCAGTTCAGATTAGTTCGGTTCAGTTTAGTTCAGTTCAGTTCAGTTCAGTGTGGTTTAAATTTCACTGCTGAAAGTTCAAACACTGAAGAGCAACTCCACCGAAGCACAGCTCCACAATTCCCGATCCAAGCAAGCCAGAAGCGACAGTGGTGAGGAACAAACTTCACCAATTGACGAAGTGAAGGGAAAAAATAAAAACTCGAGAGAAACCAGCCTCTGTTGGGCACGACCATTATTCTTCCTGTAGGGAGCTGCAGTCACAACATATATTGTGCTCCTCTCAAAATTAATTTAAAAACTCCACTAAAAAGCATTTTTAATGAAATATAAGCAAAGTTTGGTGATTTATTTATTTTCATATTTTCAAGAAACACTTTTTCTTCTATGGAAACATATGAGAAGCTAAGTTAATTTTAAAATACAATATGCAACATTGCAATGTATTGCTGTATGTATTAAAATAAAAAAAATATTTTCCATGACAAAGGGGCAATGTTACATTACATTTTACATTATTTACATGTCATTTCCATCCACAGTTACACACATCAAAGTTGTGACTTATAGTTTTATTTACACTTTTCCATGTTATATGTAAAACGACAGTGCCAGTGTATAGCTCTATTTACATATCATTTTCCATGATAAAGTTTGGTAAAACATTCCAATTAAAATGTATATCTGTTTTAATTTGGCATTGCAATTAATTTCGGAGTTTTATAATACCGTATATTATAGGTGGCCATAGATAATTTTTTAAAATCCATATTAATCTCACTGTAATCTAGGAATTAATCTAGATTAAAATGGCTCATTTGACTGCTTGAGAAACTGTTTACTGTGATAATTGGTGATGAAAATAAATGATGTTTAATAAGATGTACTTGTGTTTACTGACTGTTTATTCCGTTAAACATGAATGTTGAACTGTCGGCCTACATAAGCTCCAAAAAGCGATTTTTGATCACCTTAATCTGACTAAAGTCAGAACTGAACTAACAGAGATGGAATGAAGACATGTGGACTATGCAGATATTAGTGGCACTACTGAAGTAAACACCCCGATCAAACTATTATCATCATGTAGGACTTATCATCATATTTTCCAACAGGATCCACACATGCGGCTGTCAGTAAAGGACCGTGCACACATTGCGAAATGAGAAGTTTTGTTCTTTCCATTTGGCGTGCGTTATTAAATTCCATAACACTCTCACCAGTCCTTACTCCTTATTTGCATCTTATACCCCAGTTTGTCACGGGGGCATGAATGAAATGTTCATGAGTGAATGTGAAACTGCCCAACTGCAGTTAAAGTCAGCCAAAATTACAGAAAACTCTTCCATGAAAGCACTTCACGTAAACACCTTAATTATTTTATTGTCTATTAAGGCAAATAACTACACTACAGATGTCCATGTAAGTGTAGTCAGTAGTGTCTTCAAAGTGAGTGAAAGATCCAGAAGGGCATCCTGCTGATTTGATTCAGAAGGGCACTTTTTTGTCAGACGGTTCACCGGTTTATTTTCATTCACATCATTCATTTTCAAAAGCACCC